TGTATGTACCACAGTTTGTTTATCCATTCTTCAGTTGATGGGCACTTTGGCTGCCTCCATCTTTTTGCTATTGTAAATAGTGCTGCTATGAACATTGGTGTGTATATATCTTCTCGGATTGTGGTTCGTTTTTCTTGCAGGTAAATACCAAGTAGAGGAATTGCTGTATCATAAGGTATTTCTATTTTCAACCTTCTGAGGAATGAGTAAATTCCTCCATTAGACTCTGACATAGTGCATCTCTAGAACTTCTTTTTCTACCTGAATGCTGTGAGAAGAAAATACAGTAATAGACATGAAAATTATAAACTGTAATATAACCCAGAGCCCTGATTATTTTGTTGCTACCTGCACTTGAGCAATAATGTAAATAAAGGGTTTTGTTGCCTGGTATCCAAACTTTTCATCTTCTTCCCATTCTAGATCTCACTATAAGCATGGCATGCTCTTTTGAAAGGAATTGGTACAGACCCCGCCAGTTAGTTCTGAGAGAAGATTCGTGAACCAAATCTATTGGAACCATTTATTTGAATGGTACCATCTTGCCTCTTGTTTTCAATTTTGTACCTAAATAATTTAATCATACTTCTTTCATTTTCAGGTAGTTTAGTGATTTTTTTGGATACTACTCTTGTTTGAACTCATAAGATGTTTGTTTTTGTTGTTGTTAAGTGCTAACCAGTTGGTTCTGACTCAGAAATTCACAGCATTTCGGGGGAGCAGCTGGGGGGTTTGAACGGTGGATCTTATGGTTCGCAGTGTAGTGCTTATTCTGCAACATGTATTTAAGAAAAGAAACTATACTAGCAAATCCCTGCCGAACTTGCTACTGTTCAGTGACAAAGGGAATCAAAAGATGACAAGAGAATATTAATCTAGTCAGTCAACAGTGATTGTGTCAGGCAAGTTTTACAGTCACAGCTGATGCTTGGAGGAACTTGAAAGGAGGAAGATAAATGAACACAAACCATATTCCGAGTGATGGTAACTTCAAAGATGATTGAGGTGGTGGTGGGAGAAAGCCATTAACTGTGCTTAAGGAAGTCTGGGAATCTTTCACAGAGGTGGTGCCCAGGGACCAGAAGACTTTTCTCAGAGAAAGTGCCTTCAGAGTGTAACCCTGGGGAGGAGGGTGGACGGCGGGGGGTTGCAGTGTAGGAAATCACTCCAGTCCAAGGCAAAGACTGAAAGGCATAACCAATCTGTACAACTACTTGTTGTTGTTATTAAGTGCTGTCAGTTGGTTCCAACTCACAGACACCCTGTATAGGGTTTCTGGGGAGCAGCTGGTAGGTTTGAAGTGCTGATCTTGTGGTTTGCAGCCCAGTGTTGATCCTAGGGCTCCTCACCTGGGGTCCTTACAACAACTACTAGGTTTAAATATATTGAAATAACTGCTTTTGTCAACACTTTGACCTTACACAAAAATGACAGTTTTTAAGGGTTCGACCTAATATGTTGATATTATTATGGCTCCCAGAAAAAAATCAGAACACACCTTAAATCCAACTGACTCAGTGACTCCCACCCCTTGGGCCTCAGAATCCTTGGATTCTAAAGTGAAGACTAGAGCCCTTAGGGCATCAATTCATTCAGAGTGGAAGTGAGGCTGCAGGCTCGCTAGGGCTCAGGAAATGACCTCGGTGGTTTCATGGGGCGCCAGTTCTTGGTCCCCGCATTTCAGGGGCTAGATAATAGCTGAGTGAATACGAAGCAGCATGGAAAGAGTACCTGCTTTTCTAGCATCTGGAACGAGCTGTTTGCCAAAGGTTTCCTACATATAAATGGAGAAATGCAGCCTCCACCCCAGTGGCCTAGATAAGCATTAGGATGCCATAGTGTTTGTAAAGCACCAACCCTAAGGGCAGGGAATTAATTAGGGGCGGTCGGATCTTGGTGTGTAAACGCCTCGCCCTCCCCTTCCTCCCCCCTCCTTGCACACACGTGAGCAGAACTGTCCTTGACTTGTCTTGAAGAACGAGAAAAATTAAGCTCTCGCTTTGGTTTCTCTGCAAACCTCTTCATCTCACACAGCCTTACCGCACCAACGATCTCACATCTTTTTCCTACACACATTTCTGCCAAGACTCTCCTGCTCCGTCAAGATCCTGGGGGGTCCTTCACGTGCATCGCCCCGACGTTGGTTTAGCTGCTTCTGCCCGCTTCTCTCCAGGTGTACTGCGCCCTGGCGCTCCTCCAGGGGCTGCCCAGAGCTTGCGGCGTGGAGTGCCGGGGTCGGGCTCCACATTTCTCCGGCTCCTCCTTGAAGTCCCCTTGCTTCTCCCCCAAGCAGGGGCCCTTTTGCTGCAGCAGTGACCCCTGGCTCTGCAGGGCGGTGGCCCGCAGTCCAACGCGGGATGCCCTTGAGACCCTCCTGAATTGCGGGGCCTGGTTTCATGGGGCAGAGGGACATATTTAGCAGAATTTAGCGGCGAAATGGGAAATCGTGCCGGCTTATAGTGTTTGAATGACCACGAGACACCCACGGCGTGGGGACACTAAGGCTTGCTGGGCCGGGCGACAGACCAAGGTCACGCAGCCTCGAGGCCCGCCTCTCGCCGATGGGGGCGTGGCGCTGGCGGGTGTCGGGGCGCACTGGGGCCACGCAGGAACGCGGTCCACGGGACGCGCGGGGCTGAGTATGCGTGCGCGTGGGGCCGTGCGTGCCCGTGGAGATTCCGGCGCGAGCGCGCTGAGCGGCGCGGTTCCTGGGGCTCCGCTGTCGCAGCGCGGTGGCCGCCGCCGCGGGAGGCGGGCCCAGTGCGCAGGCGCGCGGCCACGGGCGGCGGGACGGAGACATGCTCTGGGCTGGCTCGCGGGGCATCCCGCTGCCGGCCTTTCGCGTCGTGAGCCCCGCGCACTCTTCCTGGGGCCGGCGAGCGACGCGCCTGCGATCCGCGGCCGCTGCATGGCTCTGAGATGGCAAGGGCGCCGCATGGAGGAGGCGGCGGCGGCGGCGAGCCGGGGGGCGCAGAGCGGGCGGTGGAGATGGGCGTCCGGCACCGGCTTGAGTGCGATGAGCGCTTCGCGTGCCCAGAGCTGGAGGCGCTCTTCCGCACCTATACGCTGCGGCTGGAGCAGGCGGCCACACTGAAGGCGCTGGCGGTGCTCAGCCTGTTGGCGGGAACGCTGGCGCTGGCCGAGCTGCTGGGAGACCCGGGCCCCGTGCCCAGCCTGGCCAAGGGTTCGCACCTGGTGCACTGCGTCCTCTTCCTCCTGCTCTTGGTGGTCACCAACGTCAAGTACCTGCAGGAGTCCCAACTGCAGCATCTCAGCAAACTCACGCTGCTCTTCAGCCTCACCTTCGCGCTGCTCTGTTGTCCTCTGGCGCTGGGTGGCCCCACCAGTGCCCATTCCGCGGGACCGGTGGCTGCCCAGCAGGGTGTGTGGCAGCTCCTTCTGGTCACTTTCGTGTCGTATGCCCTGCTGCCCGTCCGCAGCCTGCTGGCCATCGGCTTTGGGCTCGTGATGGCCGCATCGCAGCTGCTGGTTACGGCCAGCTTGGTCCCTGCCAAGCTCCCACTACTCTGGAAGATGGTAAGTACCGCCCGCGCCACTATTGTGATCTCAGGTGCACCTGCTGGAGCGGGACCAGGAGGGGGACACACTTCTCTTGGGCATATGGGGAAACTGAGACCCCGGATGGAGGGCACGTTCAAGTTCACTAAGCGAGTTTGAACGCAGGTGGGGCTGACACCCCAGGCTCAGACTCTTTGCAGAGTTCCAGCCCACAAAGAGTGTGGCGCTGGGGAAACCATCACGGAGAGGGGAAAGATCTGCCCAAGGTCTTGCCACTGGTGAGGGGCCAATCCTGTTGTTTCCTGTGTCCAAATTACACCCCCATCTCGTCCCCCCCCCCCCAACACCTTATCCTCTCCCCACACCCTCCACAGGAGAGATGGGCTCCAGGTGAGCCCTGTAGACCAGGCTTTCTCAAATCACAGGGCCTGGCCAGTCCCCGGTGCACCTGGAGTGATTGTAGGACGTTCAGGACCACCCTCCAGGTCTTGGGAACCTGGGAGTCAAGGGGGATCTTTGAGCCCCTTCTCAGTTTCCCTTTTCCCTAAGGCCTAGAGGAATCTGGATTTGGCCAGGGTCACCAGCAGCACACTGATCAGTTCACCGGCTTCCACTCCCCTGCGTCGTGGCTCCATTACCGCAGCACCTTGAATTCCCTGACAGTATTTCCCTAGCTGTTTGGGAAGACAGTGGAGAGGATTTGGGGTCCTCCCAAAGCCCTGTCCCTGCACCGCCCCCCCCCCCTCCAATCAGATGGCCTTTGCCCCATAGGCTTTGAGAGCATTCTCTGCTTGGACATGGCAGGTGGTAGCCGGAAGCTTCATCCCATCATGGGCTTGGAAGGCCCTTGAGGGATGGATTTTGTTTCTACCTCTGGCTTTGGTTTAGCAAGAGGATGGTACATGCTTGCTAGGTTTGGAGCCTGGGGAGAGTTGGGTAGAGGTGCGGATCAAAGCAGAGAAAGCAGAAGTAGGGGATAAGGAAAAGAAACGGGACACTGTGAGTTCAGTACCAACACCTAGAGAGTGGGTGGTGAGGAGTCAGACAGTCAGGAGGACTGTGGGGATAACACATGTACCTCGGGACATCAAGCCGGACTCCCTCCCCAGAGGAGTACATGGAAGGGAACTGAGGGGAGCTGGCAAGTAGGGACTGAGGGGGAGGGGAAGAGTAGGTGGTGAAGACCAGAGACAGTGACACAGGTAAAGACTGTGTGCCCAGGAAAGGGGCGAGCCAGGCCTCCTCAGTGTCTCCTTGGTCAGTGCTTGTGTCTTGCTTAACCACTATTAGGGGGCAACCTAGTCTGACCTTCCCATCTGTTGAGTGTTTAGTCTCAGTGCAAGTCTAATTTCTTTTAGAAGGATCAGCATGAGGCTGGTCCCTACGAGATGGAGGTTTCCAGCATTTTATAACCCTGCTGCCAACCAGCACTCCCCAACCCCCTTCGTGCGCCAGGATTCTGCAAAGTCTCACAGAACTCACACACTGTCAGGGAAATGGTTCTTACAGCTGTGGAGGCTGGCAAGTCCCCAGTCGGTAATTCAGATGGTAGTCTGGAGGATTCTCCTTACTCACGTGGTCTCAGGGGCTGAGGAAACCACGTCAGGAGGTCAGATGACAGGCTGCTGGTGCACAAGGTTGCACCATTGGGTCAGGTGAGAGGCCGCAAGTCCTGTGAGCTAGAGGTCAGATGAGTATGAACCCGATGCAGGACCTAGAGCAAGAGAGCGCATTTTGACAAAGCAGACCAGACCCCTAGGGAAACTAACGGTGGTCACCCTCTAGTAAAGGTTTCTGAGGAGCGGCTGGTGAACTCGAACCACTGACCTTGCGGTTCAAACTGACTTTGCAGTCCAGTTCCTTAGCCCACACCGCCACCCTAGGACTCCTCCTGGTAAGATAGGGGCATCCTTAATCTTTGTTGTTGTTGGTAAGTGCCCTTGAGTCAGCTCTGACCTGTGTAGGGTTTCTGTGGAGTGGCTGGTGGGTTTGAACTATCTACCTTGTGATTAGCAGTCCATTGCTTATTCTATAAGGTCACAACAGGACCCCTTAATCCTTATTGTTAAGTGCCGTCGAGTCCATTCTGACTCATAGTGACCCTGTATAAGGTTTCCAAGGAGCGACGGGTGAGCCTGAACCGCCGACTTTATGGTTCAAACTGACCTTGCAGTCCAGTGCACTAACCCACAGCGCCACACCAGGACTCCCCCTTAACCCTTAGTGCCACCTTTATAGTTAATCCCAGCTTAATCCTTGGTGGTGTTGTTAAGTACTGTCAAGCCAGTCTGATTCGTTCTGTTGTTGTTGTTAGATGCCATCGGTACCAACTCATAGTGACCCTGTGCACCACAGAAGGAAACACTGATTCATAGTGAACCCCGTATAGGGCTTCTGAGGAGCCTTGTGGTTAGCAGTCTAGTTCTTGTGTCACACCCAGACTTCACCCCACCTTACTCCTTCTTGACTAATAACTCACTCCAAAACGGGCCCTGGAGCACAGCCCAGCTGCTGGGACTCACAGCCTTTCACAGAATATAACTGGGCCAGACCAGCCGCTGTTAGCACAGGGTGGGGAGAAGGTCAGAATTGACCTCTGGGTGGTCCAGGTAGGTTGGGGCCAGGCTGTGCTCTGGTACACCAGTCTGCTGGCACAAGAAAGGGCTTTATTCTTGCCCTTTTGAAATAAACATTTTTCCTCTATAGCTGTTATTATCCCTGTGAGGGGACTGAAGATATAAAACGAGAGACAGAGGAGAGATTACATGCAGGTGCCTTGTGGGCCTGAGGATAAGGGGGACCCCAGTTATTGCCAGGAGCAAGCATTCTCGGGGAGCTGTCAGCTGTGACTCCCTGCACCTTAACTGCCTACTACCGCTAGAACAGAAATACTATCAAGTGGTCGCTTTAAGAAATAGACATTTACGTTCTCACAGTTTTTGTTGTTATTGCTAAGTGGCATCAAGTTGGTACCGATTCATAGTGACCTGAGGAGCAGCTGGTGAGCTTCAACCGCTGACCTTTTGGTTCAAAGCGACCTTGTAGTCCAGCGCATTAAGCCACAACGCCACTCCAGGACTGAATTCAGGTTGCCGACTTTATAGCTATCTCTGGAGGAGGGTTCTTGTCTCTTCTGAGTTACTTGTGGGCAGTCTTCACGTGGCTTGGCATCTGTGTTTCCATCTCTGCTTCTCTTGCTTGCTTGTTTAATTTTTTTAATATCTCAAAAGAGATGTTTTAAGACATACCCTGTCCTAATCCTGTCTCAGAAAATAATAAAGATAAAACATTCCCAGGTGGGATTAGAACCACAGATGCAGGGGTTAGGATTTACAGAACAAATTTTTTGGGGACAACTCACTGCATGATACTGAGCAGTGCCAAATCTTTCCTCCCCGAGTCTGTTTCCTCATCTGTAAAAAAATCAAACCAGGGTTTCCTGTGGCTCTGAGTTAAACGTAGATTGATCACATGTGTATCAGAGTAGCATTGTGCTCTGGAAGGTTCCGTGGTTTTAGATTTAGGTTCTTGGAATTAGATTGCCAGACCTGTCTTTTAAGGTGACTACCTGGAGGTGACTGCCAAAAGAACAAACAGATGTGTTTTGGAAGAAGTGCAGCCAGAGTGCTCCTTAGAGGCTAGGATGGTCAGACTTCATCTCTCATACTTTGGACATATTATCAGGAAGAACCAGTCACTGGAGAAGGATATCATGTTTGGTAAGGTGGAGGGTCAGAGAAAAAGAGGAAGACCCCCAATGAGATGAATTGGCAAAGTGGCAGCATCAGTGGGCTCAGGTGTGGCAACAATTGTGAGGTTGGCCCAGAACCAGGCAGTGTTTTGTTCTGTTGTGTGTAGGGTTGCTGTGAGTCAGTACCAACTTGATGGCACCTAACAACAACACCTGGAGGTGGGCTCAGATCTCCAACCTTTCGGTGGCCAGTCAAGCATATTAACTAACCATCTGCCACTATCCAGAGTACTTCCTCTAAATGGACGTCACTCACCCCTTGTGGGGCTGTGGCAAAGGTTAAAAGTTTCTATTGAAAAAGCCCAGATTGGGACTCTTCTGTCACTTCTGCGTCAGTTTGGTTTCTTTAAATGTTTTTTATGGGGTGTGTTTGGTGTTGTTGTGAAGTGCCAGAGTGACTCACAGTGACCCACTATCGGGTTTCTTAGGCTTTAAATCTTGTGTGGGAGTGCAAGCCTCATCTTTCTCCCATGGAGCAGCTGGTGGGCTCGAACCTCTGACCTTCGCAGCCCGGTGCTTATCCTCTGGAGCCCTTACAGGTATAGGATATGGATGTTGATAAATCATTTGGAATCAGTGCAGAGAAATGTGTTGACAAAGACAAGATAAAGCCCCAAGGGTTCCCCCTTCCAAAGGAAAGATTCCAGAGTGTGACATCTGCCCTCAATTAGCTCAGCACCCGGGCACTTGGGAGGCATGTGGAGGATGGTGTTGGCCTTGTGAGACAGAGGGCAAGTGGGTCTCCTGCTCAGACCACAAATGGCTGGCTGGCTGGCTGGTCTGCTCACAGGGCCGTTCCTCCCCTGACGTGGGGCAGCAGGAGCCAGGACCTGCCCCTCCTATTCCAGAGTCTGGAATGGGTGCAGGGGGTGCCACCTCACCCAGGAGTATGCCCCTACCTGTCTGAGGGCCACACGGGTCCCTACCCATGTGCCTGGTGTAAATATCTGGGGCTACTTCCAGGGTTGGATTAATTTACTGGGCAAAGAAATGCCTCTCTCTGAATTTCCACCTTGTTTCTCAGACTGAAGACCTTCTTGCCAGAGTAGCTCTTAGGTGGTCTAGAGAAAGTCAGTGTTTTGTTCCCAGACCAGGGTCCCGGTCTTGGCTCAGATGTGTTGTAGAACCGAGCACTGTAGCTTCCTTCCTCTCCTCTCCTCTCCTCTCCTCTCCTCTCAGGGAGGCTCTTGTGGTGCCTTGGAGCTAGAGGTGGGGATGGGGTCTCTGGGCCCCTGAGAAATCTGGCCCTCTCTGTAAAGCCAGCCCG